GCCGCTTCCCTTGGCCCTCTGAGTCCAAGATGCCAGGTTTAGTAGGGGAGACCTCCCCAGTGAGCCAACAGGATCACACGCAGGTCACACACAGACAGGGTACCCTTTCCTGAGCAGCATCTTCAGGCGCAGACTCCCAGCCACTGGGGGCTCCGAGGGTGGAGAGGGAGCAGGTGGAGGTCGTACCGCAGGCGGCCACCCCGTCCGGGGGCAGCCAGGCAGGGCTCTGGGCATTGCCCGCCCTGCAGCCAGGCTCCAGCACCGGGAGGCCGGAGACCCGATCCCATTGCCCACCAGGAGCGGAGGTCCCTCTCATGTCGGTGTCCAGAGGGAGCCCTTAGCCGGGAGTCCAGGCTAGTGGCTGTGTGGTGCGCTACACGCCATTCCCTCGGTCTGGCACAGTACTCGCCATGGCTGTCCTGGCGAACAGTGACTGCACATGTGAAGGTCAGACGTGTCCAGAATCCCCTTCTGCTCTTGTTCTGAACACTGGTTCTTGGCCAGCCTCGCTTGAGTCGGGACAGGTGTATATCAAAGCCAAACTTTCTTTTTTCTAAAAAATACAACTTATTCTGATTTTTTTCTATATTTGAATCTTTATAAATTAACAAGGGGAATGACTACTTTCAACCTGCCCGGGCTTCTCAAGTTCACTCCCTAATCCTCCTCACCTCAACACACCAGATGCTCCACTGCTCTCATCCGGTGTAGGAGTTAATAATGGTCGATTTTGTCATTAAAACAACAACAACAACAACACACGATTATATCAAAGGAAACATCAAAAGTGCTTTATTCGCCAAAACCAGTTTGGCTCAATGGATAGAGCGTTGGCCTGCGTACTCCAGGGTCCCGGGTTCAATTCCGGTCAAGGGCATGTACTTGAGTTGCGGGCACGTCCCCAGTAAGGGGTGTGGAAGAGGCAGCTGATCCATGTTACTCTCTCCTCGATGTTTCTGGCTTTCTATCCCTCTCTCTTCCTCTTTGTAAAAAATCAATAAAATATATATATATGTACATATATATATATATATATATATTTTTTTTTTAAGTGCTTTATTCAAAGTACTGCCCATTGTATCTACACATTTCCCCCATCTTTTGGGTAATTTGTGGATATCATCCCAATAGAATTTTTCTTGTTTGGAGGCAAACCATTCACAGACCCAAACTTCCACTTCTTCATATGGTTTGAAATGCTGCTCAGAGCGTGCGTGTGCCGTCCATCAGTACCTGTTTTGGCGCCTGTAATTATGCCCTCGGTTTCCTGTCAGGCAAAGGCCCAGCCTAAGGCCCGAACTATCGGGTCTAGTAATAATTAATGTCGTTTTTAAACATTCATTTAAAATCTTGCTTGGCGTTGACTTGTATTGACATAACCTTCAAACACGTGGTATCTACAGAACGTGTGAAGTGCAATTAACAAGTTTTGCTTGAAAAAGTTTGTGTTTGGTTTGGTTTTTTGTTGCAAAACTAGGGCTAAGAAGATGGCGGATGAAGAGCATATTTGGCACTGCATGCTTTACGAGTTCCAATTAGGAAGAAAAGCAAGTGAGGCTGCAAAAAACATCTGTAGTGCTCTTGGTCAAGATGTAGTTAGCGCCAGAAAAATGCCAGCGTTGGTTTGAGAAATTTCGCGAGGGAAATTTTTCGTTAGATGACAAGAGTGGTTGAGGCCGTGTGTCCAATTTTGATCAAGAAGCTCTTCAAGCTCTTTTGGTGCAAAATTCTCAAATTACCCAACAAGAGCTTGCGACAACTTTAAAATTGTCACAAAAAACAATTTCCAATCAATTGCGTGCACTTGGCAAAGTCCAAAAGTTTGGAAATGGGTTCCTCATGACTTGACCGACACAACCGTAATCAAAGAGTCACAATTTGCAGTTCGCTCCTCTCTCGTCTAAACCGTTTTGCCGTTTTTAGAGCAAATTGTTACTGGAGATGAAGAATGGTGCTGTATGTTAATTTGAAAAGGCGGGCCTCAATGGTTGGACAAAAATGAGGCTCCGCAGACCACGCC